CTCTCTCTCTCTCTCTCTCTCTCTCTCTCTCTCTCTCTCTCTCTCTCTCCTCTCTTTTCCTTTTTGTCTTCTCCTGGCAATCAACGAATCTCCTAAGAAAATCTGCAATAATCTTACTAATTCGTCCACTGAATAAACATATGTGAGCACCCTCAATGCATGCCCTAGGAAACCAAGTAAAGGAACATTACAGATGAAGATAGGTGAGGACTTTTAAGAAGCATCACCATGCTGTTCGTTCATGTCTTCTTGGACTCTTCACGGAGCTGGCTTGGAGAGCAGAGCTGGGCTTCCAACCCTTAGGTGTTGCCTGAGAAAGCGGGAGAAGCAAGTGGAGATTCTTGGAGGAAAGCATGTTATGTGCAAAGGCTGTTGTTCTTAGGAAGTGTGGCTGTTTCCAGGGTGGTTTTAGTATGCCTGGAGCACGAAGTTCAGTGTGTGGTGGTTTGAATGAATGGCTCCCATGGGCCCATAGGGAGTGACACTAGTAAGAGATGTGGCCTTGCTGGAGTAGGTGTGGCTTCACTGGGGGAAGTGTGTCTCTGTGGGTGGGTCTTGAGGTCTCAGATGCTCAAGCCACACCCAGTGTGGCAGTCACTTTCCTGCTGCCTGTGGATCCAGATGTAGAACTCTCAGCTTCTCTCCAGAACCATGTGTGCTTGTATGCCACCATGCTTCTCACCATGCTGATAATGGACTAAGCCTCTGAACTATGAGCCAGCCCCAGTTAAATGTTTTCCTTTGCTGTGGTCATGGTGTTTCTTCAGAGCAATAAAATCCTAACTAAGGCAGTGGAGATGGGGGTGAATGGCTGGCTGAGTATTCAAGAACCTATAGGTCTTACTTTTTTTTTTTTAGCAATAAGGTATAAAGAAATAGGAAGATGTAGGTGTTGAAATTTTAGATTTGCATTTTGGAAAGTCTATACTTTTTTTTGTGTGTAGGATGTGATACAGATAGGAGGACCAGAATGAATGTAAGGAGGCCAAGGAGACAACCCTAGTCTTTGAGAAAGAAGATGGAACACCGATGGTATGATGGAGACAGGTCTGAAGAAACAAAGAGAGGTGCAAGGAAGATTAGCTTTTGCTACTATGTATGGGCACTTGTGTTAAAGATGGAAGACATGGATAGCCTCATCCTAATGCAGCCCGTCACGGTCTGTGTCTCAAAGAAATACCTTCCTGCCGTAAGCAGACATATTTCATTTCCATGAGATCTATCTTTAGAGGTATACATAGATCGATTTCAATAGCTCCCTCCTGAGATTAAACCCTCAAACACTGAGAAACAACAATCCTCTATGCCTGAGCATACTTTCTGGACAATATCTTATCCCTTTCAGCCATTTTTCACATAGAATGGTTTCCAGAGCCCTCTTTGTCTTGGCTGTTCTTTCTGAATGATAGCTAGTAGGTGCTTACTCACCCCTTTGTACAGATAGACTCGGTACACTGTAAGGCAAGATCTGTACACTCCAAAACCAGAATAATGTCTAATTCTAGATATGCATTCCACCTTAGTAGCCTTGACACCTAGTAGACTAGCCTGGGTAGCCAGGGAGTTCCAGGGACCCTCCTTTCTTTGCCACTCCAGTACTTGGATCACAAGTGTGTACCACCACACCTAGACTTTTATTTTAGTCTGGATTCTGGGACCGAACTCAGGTCCCCATGCTTCAAGTTAAGCATTTTTCCAACAGAACTTGTCTCCCTTCCTAAGTTGTAGATCATCTAATACAGAAATCATAGATACATAATACAGAAATCAATACTATTAGCCATTTTCTTAGAAGCGACATGATTTAATTATAGTCATGTAATGGGCACACAGAGATTCTGAGAAGTTGATTGGGGTGGGGGAGATAGGAATATCGGTATGCAGCCTTCGGCACATCTGCAGGGAAAGTGCAGGTGGCCGCCCTCCTCTCACCAAAACTCTGATTAAATTTGGCTCACCCAGACAGGTAACCTAAAATTACTTAAGAGGAGGGGCAAAAGTGGAGGAAGACTGGAGATAGGATGCTGTGTCTCTGGAGAGAACTGACTGACTTATTGTGGAGAGTGAATTTGTGAAGGCTGGGTGCTGCTCGTGAGTGATCCTTAGCAGAGCTGAAAGCTGCATCTCTGAGTGTCTCCCCCCGGAATGCCTGGCCAATGAAGCATGACTGAAAACCTAGTGGTGGGTGGATCATAGATTCAAAGTTGAGGGAAAGGTTCCCTCTTTACTGCCCTTTGTCCAGGTCTGGTGCGAGGGAAGACCAGGATGGAGTGCCTAGTGTGGTTGCCCTGTGGTGAATCAGAGTCCAGCAGAAGAGGCCAAATTGACAACTGTACTTGAGGCTAACTCTCCTAACCACCCAGCAGGACTCTCTCAGCACACTGAGTTTTCCTGTCCTCATTCGTCATCTTTTCCTGACAGTTCCTTAGGAGCACTGGGCTTCAGTTGTGAAAAATTCACAGGGCAGAGGTAAATTTGTGTAGCAAACCCTAGACTCAATGGAAACAGTACCCAGAAGGGAGAAGGTGTGGATGCTGCTAAGGGACTGTGCTTTTAAATTCATAGCCCTTATCAGAATTAGTCACACTTGGGGCTGGAGAGGTGGTTCAGTGGTTATCGGAGCTTGCTGCTCTTCCAGAGGATTGGAGTTCAGTTCCCAGTATACCCACATGGGGCAGCTTACAACTGTCTGAACTCTAGTTCCAGGGGATCCTGCACTGTCTTCTGGCTTCTGCATGTATATACCCACATACGGACACACACATGGATAAATAAACGCAAAAGTAAATTAAAAACTATTTCTAATGGATGGAGTTAGTAATTACCCTTACCATGTAATTCAAAGACCTAAATTTTATAGTACTCTTTTTGCAATTTAATAAAGAATCAGGTTAGAGCACATTAATTTGTCTTTGATCAGAGCTTTGTAAGGTGAGTTTAGGCCAGGTAGGTTGTCTGACTTGCTGGGAGCCTCAGTACTAGAGACTATGTCTAATTCTCTGCTAATGAAGTGCAGCACCCAGAGCTGCCAGGGGGGGCCCAGCTTCTGTTGTCCACATTTCCATGTATGTGAGTCCCACACTAGCACGTTAGGTCTCCTAAAATCCTTAGTTTTCAGAAGTCTTAACCTAGCTACCAGTATTGGGTCAGAATAGGCACTCAGTAAATTTGTTTAAAGAAGACATACATGCAGGGGCTCTCCAGCTGAACTTGGTTGTTGTGGGTTATCCTGATGCTGTTTGTATTCTGATACTAATTCTGTTTCCTCAAGAGGGGCTGCCCCGCTGAGGAGTGGATCATGTACTCAGATTTCATGTGACTCTTCTCCCTAATTTAACTGGTCAAATAAAGACTAGAGCCTGTGATTGGACAGTGGAAGGGAAAGGCGGGGCTGGAGGTTTTAGAGAGTGAGGGAAGAGAGGGAAGAGAGAGGAGGAAGATGGAGGAAGGGGAAGTGGAAGGAAGACGGATCAGAACCACATGGCCTGGAGAAGTCACAAATGGCAAGGGATCTCCTAGCTGGAGAACAGAGTAGTGAAGCGGGAGATCTGCCCAATCTAGGCCTGCAGCTTATAAATGCTGTAACTGGGTTGTGTGTTTTTTGCAAGGGCTTTTTGGTGTTGGAGATTTACTGCAACACTTGATGAGTTAGAAAGGAAGCTGTAAGTTGATACAATTACATTTAAAATCCAAGCTTTCGGTTATTAAGTGCTGTACGCCCAACTACAAGAGCACTTTGCTAAGCTCCGTCCTATCTCATGGCAGAAGAATGGTGTTCTCATAGGGTCTGCTAACCCTTTGAATTTAAGCGCCTATCCAAAGTTCTTTTTTTTGTTGTTGTTATTTATTTTATGTTTATGAGTACACTGTAGCTGTTTTCAGACACACCAGAAGAGGGCATCAGATTACATTACAGATGGTTGTGAGCCACCATGTGGTTGCTAGGAATTGAACTCAGGACCTCTGGAAGAGCAGTCAGTGCTCTTTACTGCTGAGCCATCTCTCCAGCCCAAAGTTCCTAATTTCTTAGAGGAGACTGAGATTCGGGGACAGCAATCATTTCTTCATCCTTACCTGTATTTCCTTGAAAACGAAAATCCCCCAAAGTGCAGCAATAAGTCCAGGACCCTTAAATTAAAAAAAAAAACCAAACCTTTAATTTTACTGGATTTTTAAAAAAATATAACTGCACCCTAGAAAAATACCGTAAGCTACAAGCAATATAAATTTTTTGGGCAGGGGAGGAACCCTATACTCTAAACTATAGTTCCACATTGATCCAAGAATCAAAGTAACATCCTTACATCAGATTTCCTTTTTTTTTTCTTTTCTTTTTTCTGTTATGCCTTCATGGTCATTATTGCTACAATTTTGATGATGCTTTAATATTTTATCACATTAAATGATTTTCTTTAATGTAATATGCTTATGATAAACTATTTTAGTCAGGCCTTGTAGTGTGGGTATGTAGTCCTGGATACCTGGGAAGCTGAGGCAGGAGTACTAAAAATTGAAGGCTTGCCAAGGTTAAAGACTGAGTTCAAAGCCAGCCTGGCTAGCTTAGCAAAACTGTCTAAAAAGGTAGAGTAATATTTGAAAGGGAAAGGGCTATACCTCAGTGGTACAGTGCTCCCCTCATGTGTGAGAAATCCTGGTTTAAAACAAAACAAAACAAAACAAAACAAAACCCCAAACAACAAACCAAAAGACAGAAGAGAAACAAATAACTTTCTTCTTTTAAAATAAATAAATAGCTTGCTTTTCTCTTGATGCCCTTCCTAGATGCATACAAAGAGGCTGATAGAATAAAGCGTATGTATAGACCTTATGTTTTCTCAGTATTAGCTACATGATCCAATCTCCTAAATGAAGCAAGGGCATCTTTAGATAGAGAATGGCAGTACCAGGCCCCTATGTAGACCAATCAACTCTGTCTAACACTGAACCAGAAGAGATGCTAAAAGTAGCTATATATAAAAATAAAACCACGTAAGCAAGCAATGGGAGTTCCTGGAGGCAAGGACAAGAGTGAAAAAAAAGTATACAAAATGGAAAAAGAGAAGAAACAAGAAAAGGCACATTTCTACAATTTGAAAATGTGTAGCTGTTCAGATCTGGTACGAGTGCTTTTCACTAGCAAGGGAAACAGTGGAGTTGGCTTAGCTGTGCTGTCGGGAAGAAGACAAGAGCAGAATTTTAATGACTCCTCTTCAAACCCTGCAGGGACTCTGGAAGAGCTTCAATAAACAATTCCACAATGTTCTGTCTCCCAGCACTACTCCCACTGTCTACAGGGCTGGCCCAATAAAGTTTGATTCCAGTACTTCTAGCATGTAAGGGAAGTAATAAAAATGCCTTGTTTTCCATTTATCACCATCTGCGAAGTCAGCATCAAAGAGGCTAGAGAACCAGGTCAAAGGAACCGCCTTACATCAGATTTGCAAAGTGCTGATCCCAGGAATCCAACTCAAATGAGAAGCACGCGCCTTGTAAGGGTGGGCGGAAACATCAATATTACACCGGTTGCTCAGGAATCTTTATCCTCTTCATTCTGAAAATGCATTTCTCTCCAGAGAAGAAAGAACCATAGGGTGGCACTGATCTCGGAAGTTTCCTACCTGGTGACTTTTTAAATTACCCCTTTATTCATGCTCTGTGAAGATATATGTGTTTTTAGGAAGTGATGCTAACGTAATGTACAGCCCAGACAAAGGAGAGCCGTGGAGAGGGAGACCATTTCACAGCAGCTGCAACGGCTTGGGATGCTTGAACTGAGTATTTTCCTTTTGGAAAATAATACATGTGAGGGGGGGTCCATGCATTGAGAAATGGGGTCTTCCTTCCTCCTCCTTCTCTCTCTCCTTCTTCCCTTCATAAAGACTGTGGATCTAATAAAAATTTTATTGAGACTTGCAGAGTTAGGCATTTCCATTTCATGCCAACATGCAGGTTGTTTAAACAAAAAAAAAATCACTTAGATTTTATTTGAATTTAGTTTTGTTTGCAGGTTATTTAATGAATATAGAACAATTCAAAGAATGCTGTGTGAGCCAGGCTTGGTGAGACATGATTGTGGCTTCTAACATTCTGGAGGATTTTAAATTTGAGACCAGCTTGGGCTACAAAGACACCGTCTTGGAAGCAAAAAAAAAAAAAAAAATACTCTTTGAAACCCACATCAAGCCTTTATGAAATCTGTTTTAGACTAATCAAGGTTTAATTGCTTAGGTTTACACAGGTCTGCTACTAAAATGACTAAAAGAAGGAATGTCTGTGATGATTATTTAGGAATCAGGAGAACACACTGGTCAGAAGAGAGGAACACTGGGGTGGAGGCTCAACAGGTAAGGGCCATGATCGCACTTGTAGAGGACCCAAGCTCTGTTCCCAACATCTATGTTACATGGCTCACAATTGCCTGCAACTCCAGCTCCAGGGGGATCTGGACTCAGTTACACATGCCTACACACAGGCACACATGCATAAACATAATTAAAAATAATAATGATAAGATCCTTAAAGAAGAAAATGCCCATTTATATACTACCCTACGTGTGTGTGTGTGTGTGTGTGTGTGTGTGCGTGCGTGTGTGTATTATACTTTTTTTCACTCTTGCCATTGCCTCCAGGAACTCCCATTGCTTACATGGTTTTATTTTTATATATAGCTATAGAAAGAGAAGACTGGAAACTGTCTAAGGTTATGATGACCCGGTGGTCCATAGGAGCTGTGGGAACTATTCTCCGAAGTTCTGGTTTCCACCAGTTCTGTGATTCAGGCAGCACTCTTGCTGATGTCTCAACTTATTCATCTTCAAAGTGGGGATGACTTTAATATTACTTATATTATGTCAAAATAAGCATTTTGGTTTTTGCTGTTATCTGTGTTTTACATGATTAAGCCCTCCAAACTCACAGAAGCAGACAGTAGTCCTTATGATTAACGTCATCTGAAAACGTCCTTAACTCAGGGACACATAGTGAGTGCCAACAGGAGTTTGAAGAACTTTTGTCTCACGTTATATTTATACAGTATCACACAAATGAGCCCGAGAGAGTCAGGAATAGAAAATTATAATATATTCCAGAGGTCATTAGGTAAAATGACCAAAGGAAATACTTCAGGGATATAGAAGGGATGGTATCTGCAAACCTATTAAAACAGGTTATAAACGTTTGCTCCTTAGCAACCAAGCACATGTCAACTCAAGAGTGGCAGCTTCTCTATTTTTAGCTTAAGAACAATCCAGGAAACCGGCCACTTACAGCAGTGATGATCGGGAAGCTGATCACAGCGCTTAGTGAGTGGTTGGCTATGAACCAGCAGCAGGTGGCGATGGCCCACAGCACCCCTGACAGGAAGCCTGGAACACAGGGAGCATATGTGGGAGGCACATGTTCCTCTACTGAGGACCTCCTACACCTCCTACACCAGGGACTGTGAAAGCACATGTCTAAAAGCATTACTATAAACAATGCTGGCCCCTCTGGAGTTTTGAGCTATGCTTTGTGGTCCCTTTAGAAGGCGAGTGATTCCTCTGTTCTAAGTTGCTGTGAGGGGGATGATGAATTATTCCCTTTGTGGACATTAAGGAGGAGCTGAGGGAGGGACTAAAGGAGGGGGAGGGGAAGGGCCAAAAGAGTACCAGATCTGACATCCTGTGAGGTTGGGACGGGTACTGAGATGGGGGAGGACGGAAGCCCATCCTTTAAGTGAAAACCTGAGCTAAGTAATCTGCAGTGCATTAGCCAGGTGTTCAATAAATACTCTACGGTTGCTTATCAACCAGACACTCAAAATAATCAGATGCTTTATGTAAAAATATTTACTTGTGGTTACACACTCCATATTGAACTAAGCTGAACTCTTTAACGAGAAACTGTTATTATAACAGTCAATGACTAAAGGATTATGACCCAAAACACACTTTCTATTAATGCTCCAGGAACTTTTTTTTCCTTTTGAATTTCTTGGATAAACTACTTTTCCAAGTGACTTCAGATTCTTTATTTGTTGATACTTCTTTTATTGTAAATACAGGCACAGGAAGCTGGTTTGTAACACTAATATTAAAATGGTAGGAAAAAAAATTGTACAGACTGATGATCCTAAGAGAAGAGCCGTTAACACAAGAAACATCAAAATTAATGTTTTGACAATTTAGGTTCTATACTAATGTAACATATATACAGCTTCTTATTTATCTATTTTATAAATCATTTTATTCATTTACATTTCAAACAGTACTTCTCTTCCTGATTATCCCTCCACAAATCCCCATCCCATCTCCCTCCCCCACCCCCTTTGCTTCTATGAGGGTGCTCCTCCACCCACTCACCCACTCCCACTTCACCCTCTAGCATCCCCCTATGCTGGGGCATCAAGCCTCTTTCCCCTCAGATTGATGTCAGATAAGGCCATCCTCTGCTGCACATATATCTGGGTTTTTTCAGTGCTTCATGCTTTATGGTGAACTGAACCAGGACACTTAATAGAACTATCTCTTTCTCTCTTTCTCTCTCTCTCCTCCTACCTCCTTTCCCACCGCTGAGATCATCTCTTTCTTTCTTCCCCTTCCTCGCCCTCTAATGATTATTCAAATTCATTTAGTGGAACTGACACGTACACAGAGTAATAAGATGTTGTAGTTAATATTCTTTCTTACCTGGTAGAACTGCCTCTGGATACAACTTTGGCCTATTTTTCATGGCTATACAGTAGGCCACAAAGTAGACTGTACTTGTAAGAAAGATGCCGCTGGAGTGTGCGAAAACGTAGTCTAAATCTGCAAACATGGATGGCAAAATGCAAACATCATATCAGCTACCTCAAAAGATTTTAATTTCTGAACATAAAACAAACTCACAGAAACTGACTTTAAATGTGCAGGACCATTCATCATACCTAGTTATTCTAAATCTCCAATGCGCCATTTGTTTCAAATTTTAATAAACAGATTTAAGATCTAGAAATGTTAAGTGAGTTAACGACAGCGAGACTCTGTCAGGCTACTTTTCCTGTAACCCTGGAAATCTCAGTAAGGAACAGTGAATAGTATCTGTCTATGATGTCAAGTTGCCTTTTAAGAAGGACTAGGCCTCCAGCCCTATTTTTACGATGGACCTCAGCAACTGTGGTAAACCTTGATATAGACCAGAGGGGAGAACGTGGATTAAAAGTGGGCACTTGTGTATTGTCAGACTCCAAGGTCTGTTGATCCGCTCAGAGATCAGCACTTCTGTTGCAGATCACAGCTAAGCTGGAGGTCAGAAAGTGCTGGAAGTTATTCCAAAGACAGCTTTGTCTGTTTTCAACCAACTAGTTGCAAGGCACGGAAGGGTAATGACACACAATGGTGGCCCATCTTGGAGACCCTAATATCACTGACAGCCTGAGCAGATGGCACTGTGCCACCCAGATGGGTGCACTGCAGGAACCTGGCTAGAAAATCTACCTTGTAGTCAACGCTCCTCTAATCTACAATTTTGCCAAGGACGAGCGGTGAAGACTTGAACGGCATGCCTATCTCTTCTTCTAAATGTGAAATAACATTGCAGATCGTAGACAAAAAATCCACCTGTCCATCCACAGAGAGATATCACAACTTTAAAAGCACAGACCACAAAGGTGAGTCCTTCCTCACTGACGTGGGACTGGAGAAACCTGCCTAATAGCTCTCTGATTTAATAGTTTTCAGCTGGGATATGGCAATAGCAAATGGTGTCAGTTGCCATAGGAGCTAACCAATTGGTTTCTGCAAAAGACCTTAGAACAGAGTGCATGATACAGATTTACAGTTAAACAAGACAGAGTAACGCCTGCTGAGGATTACTGTTTAACAAACTGAAATACAAAGTTTGCTCCTGTCAAACTGTGTCATAGTGTCAGAGTTGTAAGAATAACATGTAAAAACTCATTGTCTATTGACAGTAAAAGACAGTTGTGGGCATTGTTTATTATGTCCCAGGACCAGGAGGGGCTTTCTTCCTGGACAGTCAATTGTTTTTATCTGTGTTCACTGACTTCTGGGACTCAATTAATTTCCCTTGTGGCCATGAGAGCCATGGCTTATTTCAAGCAAGTGAACAAATGTTCCACAGAGATGTCAAACTCACTTTTGGCTCTGTTTTTTCCTATTTTTGTTATCTTTTTCCTCCTTTCTTTGATTAAATTTTCCTTTAGTTATTATCTTTTAAAAAGAAAAGAAACCCCAAATCTAAGAAAGGATTTACATAAAAACCTTAAAGGAGATCGGTAGAAGGTTCTAGTACTGCACATGGAGCCAAGCACAGAAAGAAGGAAAAGAGCCAGCAGCCTCGAGATGTCAGTTCAAACTTCAACAATAACTCACGTCCTCCCTGTGGGGACTCCACTGGCCTTGAGCTTGTGACTTTCCTGTCTTATCTGCTACCTAGGAGTTCTACATTTCACATTTCTCTCTATCTAGTTAACACACCACATTGATTTTCTACATCACAGAACCCAGAAGTTCACTTTCTCTTTCTTGCTCCCTTAAGTATGCCATGCTTCCGTGGAGTTACCAGACCCCTTACATCCTCTCATCTCCCTTCAGCTTGCCCAGGGTTGTTGTACAGAATGTTCAGTTTGCTTCTGAGATACTGACTTTAGAGCTGGAGGCATTATGCTGACCCTTTCAGATGGACCACTTTGTCCTTGAAAAAGAATATCCTCTGACTGAACAGGTTTATACTTTGACATTTACTTGGTTTAAGAATGCTGTGTGCTATACTTTCACTTTTTAAAAGGACGTCTTCCCAGAGGTTATGATGTTAGACATGAAGGGCTCTTCATAATCTCCGAATTTTACTAGAAATCCGGGAACTGTGTGCTGAGATCCCAGCAGTGGAAGTGAATCCTGACCACAGTTGATTCCATTTGGATGCTACAGATCCCATGAAAACATTTCAGTGTTCACTGCTACCTTTACTCCTGGCGCCTTCTAATTCACCACTTACAAATGAAAAGACAAAGGCACACAGCAGTGCCAACTTCATCACAGCTCCCTTTTCTACGAACAGAGCATCAGTAGGAAAGTCCTCACTCACCATACTGGCTAGCGCCTGCATACATGCTGTCATTTCTTTTGCTGTGATCCTTGATGTAAATGATTGGCACAAATGTAGATCCATAGAGTAGTCCAGATATTACTGCAAGGCTGCAGCCCCTTTAAGAAACAAAAAGAAAACCACTGTGTATTTTGGCCAGAGGAAATGTTTCTGATACACAAATGGAACCACAAGTAAGGCTTTCTTCAATTTTAAGCAGTTTACCAGAAGCCAAACCTCTGCCTTAGCCTCTGTGAGTCATGAAGAGAGAAGTGTAGCCTCAACTGTCTACTGTGTCATGGTGGAAGGACATGACATGCAGAGGGGTTAAGGAACCATTACTACAAATGATCACTATGATCGAGTTGAAAGGGTTGTTGCTGAGGGTCATACACCATACAAATAAACGGATGTAGGAGGCATTATGTTTCAAATTCCCCTCAGACACATGTTTCAGGATCCCCATGGAACCAAGACAGACTATGAACAAATGCATTTTTGTTTAGAATGGCTACACAGACAGAATTGATTATGGTCATGTCAAGAAGTGTTCATTGACTCTAAGAATCTGAATATTTTAGGTACAAAAAAATTTCTTTATGAGAAGAAGCGATGTTTCATTTTAAACACTGCCAACTCCTTGGCCTTGGGCCCTACATGCATAAAAAGGGAACTAGTGTTTTGGGGCAGGTGTTGAGGGAGAAGATGGGGGTTTTAGGACAGTCCTTCTATCTCATACAAACAAGGACTTAAAAGGGAAGCCACTGTAGACCAGACCCCTGTCTTCAAAGCATGGGGCCACAACCCTGAAATCTCAGAGATTGGAGGATTGTATATTTGAAGCAGTATGGAATACATACCAAGATTCTGTTGAAAAACCACAAAATAAATGAAAATCTCCCCTAAGCTTGAAAACAAATTCTTTGTCAATTAATAATTTTATTTAGGGATGTTTAAAGGACACGAGAATCCAGAACTCTCTATACATGTTCCTATACATTCCCTGTACATTGCAGGCCTCTGACTTGGAGGAAGATAAGACTCCATGGCTCTAAACACATAGCTATGAAAAAATAATTAGAATTTCTCTTTAGGTAGTAGTACTTGGGGTAGATCCCTGGGCCTCTTAAACACTAGGTGAGTGCTTTAAGCTACATCCTTTGAGCTATAACCCCTGCTCTTAAAATCTTGCCCTTCACAAACATTCTGTTAATGCTTTGTGAGAAAACATGCCAAAATACTTTTAAAAATATTTTTAGGAAACTAGTTCATACTGAATGCAAAAATGGCAATATATTTTTCTTTTGCAGCTTGATTAATTTTTGTCTTTTGGACTAAATTCATTTAATTTAGTCAAACATTTACTCTATGGCTTCTTTCCTATTGTGAAGGCAACTTATCTACTGCCTTTAGGTTGGGGTTGTACAGCTCAGTCATAGAGTGTTTGGATAGCAAGTCCAAAACAAAACAAGTGACCACTTCAATGTCCTGGGTCCAAAGAAGTTATCACAGCCACACAGTTCAAACAACCATGATTGTAGAAGGAAAGCTGTGTGTTTTAAATAGTTTGGCTCCCCGGGGGTGGGGGAGACAAAAAGCAAGTAAAGAAACCAAACCACTAAACCCCCATACCCTAAAGTGAGATGGGTTGCTTTAATGCATCTCTGAAGTGCTTATGACGAAGACATGGGGTTAGGACTTACACAGGAACACAATGTTCTATTATATTTGACAACAGATACCTGGGATCATAAAACAGTCACAAAGGAAAGAAAGGTGGCAGCCCTGGGCTGATCAAATGGAGCGCACTATTTAATTAGACTGAATACTTACTGCATGGTCAATATGCAACTGCTACACTTTTGGTACTAAAGTCCTACAAAATGTGGTTTCTCTTTTCACTGGCTAACTGGTCAGATACTGTATGTCTCCGGGCATCTTCTGTACCTAAATCTCAGCAGAGTGTAAAGAACCCTGTCCCCCAGGAGGTGGAAGTGCAAGTTTTCATGATCATTTTCTTCCTGGGATCAGATGAATTTCATCACATTTCTCTGGATCCTCTGTTTTAGAAAACACAAAACATAACAGGAGAGAGGGAGAAGCTGCCTCGCCTTACACAATGCGGTGGTGCGTGGTAGAAAGTCTATCCACCCAGGAGGAATCCACACTCGGGTCTTCGGTTCTGTTGACCACCTGTGGAAGTCATCAGAGAGACCCAAATACAAGGACCTTCAGCAGACAATTTCAGTGCCACACAAAGACTTTCAGGGTTTCCTCTCCTCTCAAACATGCCTAAACACATACAAGCACAAGTCACCCATGAGCTCTGGAAGTTCAGAGCCACTGTCTTGACTCCACCCCTTCAGTTTTCAACTTAAACATTTTCCACAGATTAATGTGTAGCTATTTGATAAATTTAGATTTCATGGTTCACTGGTATATTTTAATAAACTGTAAAGAAATTAGACCCAAGAAAAACTCAGACTTTCTACAGTAGGATGCATAAAATCAATAAACATTTTAATGTCTCTTTTCTCTCAATAACATTACTTTAATTTTTTTGTTTGTTTTACTGAATTAAAAATACTTCCAGCCACGTTTCAAAGTTAGGCTGACACTTTAAGCTGAGGAAAATCTGTGAGACAAACTTGAAGAAAATTTAACATTTCTATTATTTACTGTAATCCTCAGTGCCCTCTGGCTGACCATGCTCTTGAGGTACATAAGGAGTGAGACTGGAATTCACTGTTCTGCTGAGTCAGGTTTTCCTGAGGCGGTGCTCGACCTTGCACGGGCTTTCTCATCTACTCTAATGTTCATATCGCTTTAATCTTGGTTGTTTGTACTCCTTGACCTGGCTTAGAAGATCTAGTAGCCCACCATGTATCTCTCCTCAAGGTTTTGTTTTGTTTTTTCATTTTGTTCCTTTGTTCAAAGCATGGTTAGCTGCAAGGCACCATCTAGATCCCTGGATCAGTAAGAGGGACAAGAGCTTCCACTCAGAAACAAATTATCTTTTCTTGAAGCACACAGCCCTTAAAGATGCCCAGGAATCAATATCCCTCTTCTCTCTTTCTTTTTAGGTCAATTTAATGAAGGTATTAGCCATCTCAGTCGATAGAAGAAAAAGGGAAGGGGAGGGGCAGAATCATGGCACAGTGGGGAAGCTGCCAGGGAGGCCAAGCCTGTGGCTGTGGGTGTGGGCTCAGGGAGCCCAGCAGATGGAGAGGATGGCTGGGACTGAAGGACTGGCACTGGGTTCCTGGCAACGTGGACTCACCCTCATACAAGCTTTGCAATGGGACCTTCGACAGCTGGGCAATGTCATGTCTCTTTAAGGTTGGCCCTGTTTAACATTGATTTCAGACTAACTTATATTCTTCATGGTCTAAACAGTGTCTCCTTGTATATTTTCTGTCATTGCCAGCAAGCAAAACATGATAAAGATAAAACCAGAAATGAAAAACACAAATTCAGTTCACTTCCTACTGGCATATGGCCTCCCTGAGGATCTTTAGCTCCCTCTGTCCGTTCCTTCCTTCTGTCTTCTCCTCAGCCTCCTCCCTCCTTTTCCCGAGCTACTCTCTCATCTATCCCTCAGCATGGCTGTGCAAGCCCCCTAAAGGATCCTCAATGAAAAACTACAGTCATATACCTTATAGAGATCTATTGTCAAAAAAGCCTCATCATTGGGAAGGGTCATCACCATGGAAACCTGACCCACTTCTGATAAATATGCTGAACTATTTTGATAGCCATGAGGGATGGAAAATACCACCTTCTCTCATGTGGGTCAGAGTTATGTTTTGTTTTTACATTCTGGTAGTATGAATGAAATGGCCCCTAGAGGCCCACAGGAAGTGGCACTATTAGGCGTGGCCTTGACAGAATAGATGTGGCTTTGTTGGAGGAAATGTGTGACTGAGAGCAGACTTCGAAGTTTCATAAGCTCAAGCCAGGCCCAGTATTGCTATCTCTTTCTGCTGCCTGCCAATCTAGATGTAGAACTACTGGCTAGCTCTACAGACCATGTCTGCCTGCACGTCACCATGCTTCCTGCCATGATAACAATGGACTAAATCTCTGAACTATATATAAGCCAGCACCAATTAAACATTTTCTTTTATGAGTTGTGGTGGTCATAGTGTCTCTTCGCAGCAATAGAAACTCTAAGATACATCCCGATCTTATGTTTCAAATAAAATTGTCCCATACAATACTCACAGGTTCTGTCATTAGTGGTGTGGTGTCCGAACTGCCTGGGTTATTCGGAATTTCACTTTTGATGAACAAAAACGTGAGTGCACTGCATGAAAATACATTCCAGTGAGATTGATCCGGACATGATCACTTTGTTTTGTTTTTGTACAAAGGTACCCAATTTTTAAGGGAAAACAAAACTTAAATCGAGTCCTGATAACAGAATTACTTTCACACACCCACTGTAGGGGGGCTTGCTGTCTCTTCAATGTCCCATTCTCCTTGGTGTCCTTTATCCAGCAGGGTAAAGAACAAACACAAGAGACTTCCCCTAGGTTGGCTCTTTGTTCTGATTTCCCTGTTTTAGTCAATGGTTGCATCTTTCTTATTGTTCGAGCATAACCTTGACATTGAATCATGTAAAAATGAAAGTGAACACAACTCTGAAGCATCCTCCATATACCGTAATTGCAACTGCCAAAAATTTAAAAATATCCTGTTGGACAGCTGTAAGAGACGGCCATCTTTAGTTACATTTGTGATAAAGGACACTCTTCCCGGAGGAGAAATTAAGAAGGTGATGTCTCCTAATCCACAAGTGCCTGTGATCCTAGCACTTGAGAGACAAACGGAGAAGGACCACAGTTCAATACCAGCCTGGGCTTTGCATTCTAGGGCAACATGAGCTATATATCAAGACCTTGTCTTCAAAACAAAATGATAGAAAGAATGAATTTTATGAGAGTAAATGCAGCACACATTTTGTGTTGTAAAGGAGGAAATTAAAGGTGGTTGTGTTTTTCTAATTAGAATTTTGCCTTCAGTCTGTCATCTCACATGGATGGATCAGGAAGTATTGTGGCATTTTAGTAGGGCTGTCCAGCCTGGTCCATAGTTAGAGAAAAGGACTGCAGGCCTATGAAAGACAAAGCTAGAAACAAAGGCATCCACTTCCTCAGAATGCAGAATAATGACCAAGGTTGGGGAAAAAACAAAACTCCAGAGAGAGAAAGTGAAAGAGACAGAAACAGAACAGATGCTTGGATAATCCATAGCACATCATTTTATTTTTTAATAGGAAAGGAAATCTGTTTGGAAGTTGAGGAAAGAGGACAACAAATTCATAGCCGTTCTGAACTACCTAGTGAGGACTTAGAGAGGCAAGCAAGCAGGCAGGCAGGCAGGCAGGCAAGCAAGCAGGCAAGCAAGCAGGCAGGCAAGCAGGCAGGCAGGCAGGCAGGCAGGCAGGCAGATAGGCAGGCAGGTAGGCAGGCAAGCAAGCAAGCAGTCAAGCAGGCAAGCAGGCAGGCAGGCAGGCAGGGAGGGAGGGAGTGAGGGAGGCAGGCAGGCAAATAAATCCCCTGCTGATTCAAAGCCCTTGAGTGATTTCTGTTGTATAAACAAACGTAGTGGTATATGTTATATAGGGAAAATGTACAGGTTCTTTAAAGACTGAACCGTACAGTGGACTGAAACGATCGTTTTAATTATGAGAAGAAAAGTAGCATCTGAGCTGAGGAGATGGTCCAGTGGGCAAAGTGTGTGGTGTGCAAGAATGAGGACCTGAGTTTGAATCCTCAGAACTAATGTGAGAGGGAACACGTTGCAATGAAAGAGTATGGAGTCCTAACGATCCTGCAGAAGGATGGGACACTGGGACAGGAGAGTGCCTGGGACCTTGCAGGCCAATTGGCCTGGTTTATACAGCAGCAATGAGGGTCTATCTCAAGAAAGATGAAAGTCAAGGATCAGTAGCAGAGGTTGTCCTCTAACCTCCACACAAACGCCATGACACCTGTGTACCCAAATCATACATGAATATTTGTGTGGACACAGATACACAGACACACAAACAGACACAGACATACAGAGAGACATCACCCCCCACACACACACACACAGACACACATATAGGCAGACACACACACACACACACACACACACACAGAGAGAGAAAGAGAGAGAGAGAGAGAGAGAGAGAGAGAGAGAGAGAGAGAGAGAGAACAAAACCACTCTGTGACCAATGAAACTATGCTTTGTTTCTTCCCACTACCATGAGCTCTAAATTCACTCAGCCAATGTCCTTCAAAATGAACCTATTAAAGCCATTAAGTTAAACTAACTAAACAGCAGATTGGTGCAGTTCCACCCAGGAGAGCAATAGAGATGGGGCCGAACGCCTCACAGGAAGAGATCCCTGCATCCTCCTGGTGCAGGCTGCAGACCCAGCTCTTAACAGAGCTGCAGAGGCCCTCCAGTTCAGTGCCTAATTTAACATTAAGTTGAGACACCAACAAATGTCCCAAGGCGCAACTATACATGAATATAATAGTACAGGTATTTGGGTTCTAAGTGTCCTGAAAAGGTTGTGTCAAATGTTTGGCGACTGCTCTACTTGCTGTGGGGAGGCGGTCAGCCTTTCAGAGATGGAGCTTAATCAGAAGTTCAGTTAAGAGCATGTCTTTAAAGGGGTTTGTTGAGGTTCCCTTTCTTGTCTTTCACTACTGTTGTCCTCTGGTAGATAGCTTTGCTCCTCCATACACTGTGAGCTTACTGTGCAACGTCTCCACAGACCCAACCATGATTTGTTATAGCCTTTTCACTTATGTTGATGATCTCAAGTGTTTACTACAGAACAGAAAGTGAATGCAGATGGAAGCTACCTTATATTTGGAGTCTTAATCATGTGTCTAGATACACAACGCTCTCGAAACATTTACTTTTCAAGTTATCTTAAAAGATTGGTACTAGCATTACCTCCTCTTTAAGGATGCAAAAACCAAGGATTTGGAGAAGAGATCCGTGTAAGGTCATCTGGGTAGAAGTGTCAGAGTATGGGAAACTAACTGATTTGTAACTTTAGGGAAAAGTTTTGTGTTTTTAAAGCAGAAATTTGGAGGAGAAAGGTGGTTAATGTATTGGAGAAACCAACGTTTAATTCTTACCATTAAGTTAAAACTAGACATGCTAAATTAGAATTTTACAATGTGAAGAAATTGTCTAAGAACTACTGAAAGCCAGAATTCCGTGTGAACTGTATAGAACACATAAAGCTGCCTCTAACCAAATGTGTCAAGAATTTACAGTTTGAGAATAAGCTTTGCTATTCGTCACCAATTGCCTAGGGACTGCTCTCTAAGGCAACATTTCAATGACAAAGAGATTGTTCCTGAATGTGGCTGGGGAAAAACACCATTACTGGAGGAAGGAAGATATACTGCTCTTTCCCAGAAGACTGAAAAAGTACTAAAGTCTTTGCGGGCAATGCTATTCAGTATGTGCAGCACTGACAGCAGCAGATATTAATGGAATCCAGAGAGAGAAGGTGCCTGAATTTAAGGTGACCCAATTCTTGCTTGAGTTTTATTGGCAAAACTCCACTGAGTGGAGATTCAAAGTCATTTTCTTCCTCACTGATACAGTATACACAAGTAGAGGAGGAGACATGGGAAACTCGGTATTCAAAAGAGAATGTGAGAGGTGAGAGAATTGTAATTGGGTTAAGAAGAGGAATGGGAGAGTGGGGTGGTAGGAGCTGGAATCAGTGCTCAGCAAGGCCCCTTACCTGTAGTCAGCCACGATCTAACATGTCAAACTCAAGGTCCCTAAATTTTGCCTTGTGCACTGCCTTGCATAGCACAGTGCTGTCTCCTCGTCTGAGGCATGCATTGGCATCCCTTTGCCCAGTTAGCCACCTTGAAGAACTACCCAGCACTTAGTCACTTGCGGTCCTTTAGTCAAACCCACTATGGTGATTTGCTGTGCTGGATTCAGCTAACGGGAGCACAAATCATAAGAGTGGTGAAGCAAGCTGGCAGAACCAATGTGCCATAGAAGATCCATTCAGAGTTGCCTTTCAGTGAGAAGGTAAAAAGTTCTTACCTTAAAAAACTAAAAGAGAAAAAAAAAACTGCACTAAAAGTCTAAGACCTGTAGTAAGAACAAAGCTAAGTGATAAAGTTGTAAGGCATAGATATTTCTCCTAGCTTTTTCGTCTTACTGAAACCATAAAATTATAAAGTATGGCCTTAGTGCTTAGTTAAAATGGAAAAAGTATGAAGTCATAGTGTTTGGCACTCCCTGTGTTTTAGGAATCCTCTGAGGGTAGAGCATATCCTCTTGCATGAGCAAGAACTATGGTAGTAAATAGAAAAAACGACCATTCCAGTTGCAAAGAGGAAACAAGCAGAATATTGACTCGGATAACACACTTTGGTAAGCAAAGTGATTCAATACATCCTGGTTCTAATTCATGCAAAATGTATTTTGATTTTCTATTTAGTATAGCTATTGAAATTGAACTTCAGAGCAGTTCAGTGACTTTTTCAGAGTTTCTCAGAGCTCTTGAGAACTAAAATTAAGGTTCTTGACTTCTCCCCCTCCCCCCAAAATCTGGTATTTCTTGTTCTGGAAATAAAGTCAGTCATTGAAAATTAAGAATCAGGAAACTTAAATTTTATGAAATGTAGGTTTAAAGAAAACATAAGGATATTAAAGGCTTTAGAAAGTGGGGCTGGAGAGATGGCTCAGTAGTTAAGAGAACTGGCTGCTCTTGATGGGGGTTTGAGTCTAAGCATCCACATGTCAGTTCATAACCATCTGTCACTTGAGTATTAGGGAATTGGATACTCTTCTCTGACAGACACACATGTGGTACACATACATGCAGGCAGAACATTTATATACATAAAATAAAGATAAAACAAATCTTTAGAAAACACTCTGAATGCCCGAAAAAACTAGTGACTAGAAACATCTGCAGACCTTACTACTGACAGCCCAGCTCCAAAGTAATTCAGCATTGGCTTGGACACTTCTTCTGCATCCATTCCAAACCAGCCAAATCTGGAAATCCAGAAGAATATCAAATCAGATAGTGAGAAAATGTTTTACAGTAATGTTTAAGAAAATAGACTAGGGGCTGGACTCTTGAGTTTAAATCTTGGTTCTCTCATGCACTGTTTATGTTTGGATAAGTTACTTTTCTACACCGTGCCTCTAATTTCCATGTTAAAGTGGAGAAAATAGCAGTTGAGGCATGGTGGTTCATTCCTGGAATCCCCAGAGGTAAGACAAGAAGAACTCAAGGCCAGTCTGGGCTACAGTACTTTGGAGGCAGAAGCAGGTGGATCTCTGTGAGTTTGAGGCCATCCTCGTCTATATATTGATTTCCAGACCAACCAGGATTACATTGTGAGATCCTATTCCAAAAATAAAACAAAACAACAAAACTCAAACAAACCAAACCCAAACCCAACCCAACCCAACCCAACTCAATCAAACTCAAGCCCTTTTATAATCTTTGAGGTATTTAAAATGACTTCTTGTCTAAAAATTCCTACTCTTTGACATTAGTTTACAATCTTTTTATCACGGTTAGACTTTGTCACAATCATTAGCATTCTTCATGGAAAGCCACCCAAGGATGAAGCAAGGAGAAAAAGCATTGTATTGAAACAAACCAAACTCTAGAGCACTAGGAGAGGAAGAATGGGAAAAGATGGATATACTGTAAGTTAGCAAACCTATTTGCCTTGTTCTTTGGGGGCGGTATAATGATTTTGAGTAGAAGGGAAGCCTTAAAGTGAGGCAAGAATAATGTTTTCTCTTCTCATTTCCCCAAGCCTGGCATGAAGCATACTGACCATGAGCATCATACACTGTTCATGGAGCTTCACATGTTCCCATCCCTGCCCTGTGTGGAACAGGGGAGCCTCTGCAAATGTAGCTAGTACCACTGGGACACAGAAGGCTCAAATCTGTGAATTTAATTAGCTAAATACAAAGGCTACCTGTGGCTGGTGGCTAACCTTTTAGACAATTAAACTTTCTAGCTAGCCTTGAAGAAATGTTCCTTAAAGAGCCAGTGGGTTAGGTGTGGCTAGCTGTATCCCCTTCTCTCTGCCATTACACTATAAAAGCAGCCATAGACAATGACACTGTCTTTTGGGTTTTTTTTTTTTTCAAGATGGGGTTTTTCTGTGTAGCCCTGGCTGTGGTGGAATTCACTTTGTAGACCAGGCTGGCCTGGAATTCAGAGATCCACCCGGCTCTGCCTCCCAAGTGCTGGGATTAAAGGTGTGTGTCACCATGCCCAGCTCCTTAAATGTTTTGATATGGTTACATCTCACTAAATCTTTACAAAATGCCAGGGAGATGGAGCCACAGATTGTTTTTCTATTCTAAGGAAGAACATCTACTTTAGAATAGGTACCCGGTTAGGCAAGAGAGAGGGGAAAGCAGACTTCAGCTGTCTTTCTCGCTCCCTGTTTTTGTGTCCAAGATATAGTTTTTTACCTTTTGATTTCCTTTACTATATCTTCATAAAATATCTAGATCACTTATGAAGAGCTTCAGACAAATAATAGACATGGCTCATTTATGTGTGCCAGCCATAACCTAAGACTAAGAATCACATTATTTCTCCCAGTGTGGCTATACCCCAGTTAACACTGAATACAGGGTGCAGGACTCTTAGCTGAGATAGTTTGAATTGTATTACCTTGAGCTTGCCCAGCCAGTTAAGGTGTTAAATGATCCCCAGATTAAGAGTCCAAGACCTAAACCGATGGTTTTGATAATTGGAACGACAGCAATGTTCCCTGTAGATACAACATGCAGGAAAAATGGATCACTTCCAGTAAAACAAATGCATTTCTAAGCTGAATTAGCATTTTTTCTGACTTTAACTTCTGCCTCAACATGACTCGAGAATGTACCCTCTGGCACTCACTGGCTTTCCTTCCATATTCTCACAGCCATTGGCTTACACTCTTGAGGGTCACCAGGGCCAAATCCCTGATGGTGTTGAATGTTATTAGCATTGTTGTTATGGAGATAAGGTCTTTCTATGTCCCACAAGGCTGGCCTCCCATTTTAGGACTCAAGAGATCTTCTCATCTCACCCTTCCCAATAGCTCGGACAATGGATGCTCCCTACTCACTGCTGCTTTCTGTAAAACACTTCCTACCCTCTCTGCAACCCGACTCAGTCCTGTAGTTTCCTCTCTCAGGTTTCTTCTTTAGGTTTGTGAGTCACCTATGTCTCCTGATTTGAGCCATTCATCAGAGGTCCATGTACCCTGTTAACATACCTCTAGTCTAGACTGTCTTGAGTCTCAGTGTTCTGCTCTGAACTGCTGAGGCAATCTGCAGCTAGTGTCCTCCACTGTGGCCATGCTAGAGATTTAGACTCAGAGGGGATCATGCTCCACTTATTTTCACATCTGGAAAAGTTCTGCTGGTTTCAAGGTGTTAGTTTCCCCTCTAATCACCTGCAATAAAGTCCTTACACTATCCTCTCTTTCCTGTGTGCCAGACTGGTTGGTTGTTATAACCTATAATGTGGTTACATTTCTCAAGTTTGGTTCCCTACTTATCCACCTGAGCACAGTGGAACCTGATTGTGAGATAAAAATCTGCACAATGGGCCTGAGGAGGGGGCACCTATCTTTAATCTCAGATTCTCTGTGAGTTAGAGACCAGTCTGGTCTACATGGTGCTTCAGGTCAGCCAAGGCTACATAGTGATACCTCTATGTTGAATAAATAAGTAACTAAATAAATAATTTCAAAAATTAAAAAAATCCTCATTTTGGCAGTGCACATATTAAAATTGGAGTGATACAAATAAGGTTAGCATGACCCCTGCACAAGGAGGACAAAGATAATTCACGAAGCATTCCACATTTTGTACTAGCCTTGACCAAAAATAAACAAACAAACAAACAAATAAATAATCTGCAGGCTGATGTCTTGTTTAAAATTACATCAGGAAGTGGAGGCAGGAGGACTCAAGAGTTCTAGGCTGGTCTGGGCTGCATGGTTGAGACTGTTGTCTACAAAATCCAAGAGAATGAGCAACAAATTCTGTTCACTCTCTCCCAACTCCATGTGGTAAACAATCACAGAGACACATGCAAGGCGTGGTAATGCAAATTCTGGTGGAAAGGTAAAGTTTTACTTATTTTGATCTCTGATAAATGAATTTCATTAAATCATTTAATCCCTCAAAGACTCAGTGGGTAAGCAGTATCATTTTAAATTTATTTGCATCTAACAAATTTATCTCTTAAAGATTTTCAGTAATTCTCTTTGTTTAAAAAAAAAAAAAGGTGAGGACTTTCCAGGTTGAATTCATAGTGGAGAACTGTTTCAGAACGCTTATCTGAAAAATGTAGATTCTACTATAGTCGTTAAGGCATTGATAAAGCAACGAGGAGATTTTTAATTGTCTGTTTCCTTTGCTAAATGTTACTCAAAATGATTACATGCCGCTATTTGCCAGCTCTTATGGATAAGCTCACAAATGATGGTAACAAAGGGTTACTCTTTAATATAAACATTTCCAGCAAACATTCTGGAGAAAGGTCAAATGTATACAATGGCATTTGAGTTATGTGTTTAAAGGATCAAATGTCTTTACTCTAATAATTTTCTAGCAGGAACTTAAAACATTTAAAGAGAAAATAAAATTGAGAATTTTCCCAAAATACATGAAAGGAAAACAATATACACTTCATGTCTGTCATGTGTATCTCATAACTATAAGTCCACTGTATTTTTGTCCAGGTTGTGAATATGACTGTGACCCATGTATAAGATGAATATGCACATTACCTGTAGCCCAAATACAGCCGCCAAGCATTGCAAACGGCCAGAATTTAGGGCAGTGTAGTATCAAGTTGACCACCAAGGCAACCAACCAAATGGCAGCACAGAGCACCCATTGAAGGAACATTCCTACAAATAAGACAACCTGGCATTACTTGGCGGAAAGATTTGAGCATATGCATGTTTAAGAATATCTGTAAGATGTTGTTAGAAAGACAGACAAAAATCAGGACATGTGCTCATAGTGGGCACATGGTGTATTTATTCTTATAGCTACTTTTTGTCATGGTGGACCCAATCTCAGACACCAAGAAAACAAATCTGGTCAAAAATCTGGTAGGTACACTTCTAACTGGACTGTAAAACCTAGATGCTTGACACCGAAGTCCACAATGTGTTCCTGGTTAACATGCTATTCTTTTACTTTGTGGTCAAATCAAGAAATGTCTATTAAAGAATTTTGAGAAGAGTGAGCCTGTATTTCCACTCTGATGCCAGTCTCACTGCAACTGTCAAAACATGGCACTGAGAACTTTCCAACAGTGTAGCAATAACTTAAATGTTGGGATACACTTGGCTGTTTGTGGCTCACACAGTTGGAGTTTAATGAGATAGATTTTACAAGCCTGAGACTTAACCTTCTAGGCCAGCACTCCTCTGCTTCTTGTGAGATACGGTGCTACTGGCTATTTACCAGAAGACGAACATGGCAGGGGCCATCCAAGGCTCCTGTACCATCAAGGTCTCAGGGATTGAAAAGATAGATATTCCACACCAAATGAAGCACCAAGGAAGCTGTAATTCTACTCTGCCATTTTTGGTTGTAACTTGCAAAATTTTCATCTATTTCTGTTCATATGACAGAGTTGAGGGAGAAAATGTCTGCTAACCTCCAAGTCTTGTATTGGAGTGGAAAAGGAACTTCATGCTACAAGTGAGAAACTAAAAACAAAAACCTAGTAAGACTTGCTGGGTTGGCGGTGGCTCAGACTAGAACATTCTACTACTCGAAGAGGCCTTGGGTTTAGTTTCCAGAAACAAACACATGGGTGTAGAGGGTTGGTCTGGTGCTGCCCATATCCAAGTGCTAAATTCTGTACTCCAAAATCTGCAGAAATGCAAATCCTCACGTACCAGCTTCTGTTGCATAAGCCTTGCCCCCAAGTTATCCCTGATTGGTTAATAAAGATGCCTACAGCATGGCTGGGCAGAAGGGCTGAAGGTCCCAGGCTTGGGGTCTCAGGCAGCAACTCCAGAGAGAGTGAGGGAGGAGGAAGAAGGAAGATGTCCCAATGGAGTAGGTGGATCCTGAGCGGTGGTCTTTAGGGCCAACCTGTTGGAGTAGGAGTGGCTCAGGTGGAGCATGACAAGTGATATCTTGGGGTTATTGACAGGGAAGTAGACAAAATAGCATAAAGGGTTAATATCTACCTAGCTCTAATGCTATAAGACTTATTATAAATATAAAGGCTTTTGTGTCTTTTATTTGGGAACTATATGGTCAAAGTGGGGTAACCCCTCCCCCCAAATAATATTTACCACAACACATGGGACATTTTTCTAGGTTCACAAACCCAAGAGCTAGACCAGCTGTTCTTTTTGGTTATTTTTCTACTAGGTTTTTGTTGTTGTTGTTGTTGGTGGTGGTGGTGGTGTTTTTGCCTGTCAACATACAAAAGAAAGGCTAGGAGAAAGGGTTTGTAATCCTTTTGTCTAAGCAGTATGAAGACTAAGGAACTAGGGAGATTTAAAAATAACTGGATGTTACCTTCCAGTGGGTGTTCACCGGGTGCCTCCACTCCCTTCTTGCTTCCAAAGGAAGGGCAGCAGGTAGGCAAGAGCAAGCCCTGCCCTCCTTCTAGACATCGGCTTGCTCCGCTTTGCGGCATTGTGGCACGTGCCTTTCTAAAACTATGGTGCTGAGCAAAACCATGAAATAAAAAAAACCTCAAAACAGAACCAGATCCGGTTTGGAAAAAGACACTGACCAACTGCACCAGCAATACATTTAAAAACAAAACGAAACCAAGAATTAATAAAAACAGCAGTTTTAAGTGATTAATGGTTAAGTATAGTCACAGTATATTAGACCTAGCCCTTGAATTTGAAAAGGACTGGAGGTTTGTGTGGAGGGACCACTGCAAAGAATGCAGCCTGTGGATCATTGCAGGGCTGCAGGAGTAGGAGTCTGTCTGACATCCGATGTCAGTGAGCATGAGGCACAGCATACACGGCAAACGTGGGGATCGTGCGTGGTGAACTGAAAAAGCATGGTATATGTTTTTGTGGTAAGGATGTGTGTCTGTGTGTGCACATGTGGTAAACTGAGGAAGCCTGGCGCACAGCTCTGTGGAGAGGGATGTATGTGCGCATGCCTAGGTTACAGTACTGCCGCACATCTTTCTTTAACTGGGAGCAGCATTTGGTGGTGTTTGCCTCGCGGTTTGTTAGAGAAGAGCTTGTTCACTGGTAAACTGGTTTGTGTTATGCTCAGAGTGATTTCTCACATCAGCTGTGTCAAAAATTGGTTTTCAAATGAATGTTGGTAGTGGAACTTATCTATTTTATAAACACAGCAGACACAGTCAAGAAGCTTTTCCAGTGGTACCCACCCTGCCTTTGCCACAAAGCATCATCTGGCCTTCCTGTCCTGACTCACCCTCAGTTCGCCACAAGGGGCACTGTGAGACGATTTAGTCACTAGGCACTAAGATCAATAAAATGTATTTTTGTAGCTGTTCTTTTTAAAAAGATAAAACAAAAACAAAACAAATAACCAAGACACTTAAAAAGCAAGTTTAGGTCAACAATAAAAAAAAACAGTTACCGTCACCAGTGTCATATTTTTTAAGTGGTACAAAGTTGGAGCCGTACAGGAGGATTGCTACAGCAGAGGAGAGGTAGCCGGTGGTGAGGTCTGTCGCATTCTGGCTCATGGTTGCAGGGTGGCAGACAGCAGACCGTCTCACTTTCGATCTGTGTTTTACATGAATTTCTGAAATTCGAAAAGAAAAAAAAAATGAAGGTGAGAAGCTGTGAACCTGTGAACCAGCTGTGATCTGGATATGAAGTCTACGGATCTAAATGAGGCCAGGGTTCCTGTTTACAGATAGGTCTCTATGTAAACATCTATCATCTGCAGACGATGCTCGTGCATTTGCTTTGTTCTTCATTTGTACTACCATTCCTTTTTAAATCACTAACTTATAATAAGATAAACCATTTTTTCCCCCTTTAGGATTTGAAAATCTAACTTTCTACAGGATCTGGATTCAGTTTTTATTTTCTACATGACAAGGATCATCCTCCCGTAAAGTAGTCTGACGCGAGGAACAGGCTTTCTGGACTCTGTTGTTGTGTCAATCAAATTCAAACTTGTCTGAGAAGACTTTCAGAACCAGTAAGTATGTTATAAGTGAGTGTTTGCTGTATTTCAGACACGGGTTAAGGGTTCACTGGGGTTGCACGGCCATTACAGATTCAGAATCTTTGCTGTCCATCGACGCAGCCTTAGGAAGTAAGCTCATTCCTCAAGAGTCTTGCCTGCCGTACAGACTGCTGATAGAGCACGTACTTCATACGATGGGACTCTGGGTTCATTCCCCAGCACAGTGCACACACATGCTGTACATGCTGTTCGCATGCGTGCATAAATAAGCATCTATACCGTCAATTTTTAAAAATAGAAATAGAAGACATGCTTCACGAATCTTGTAAACTCCAAGATCAGCAGTAGTGTGATTCACAACGGCAGGTTACAGAAGAGTGCAAGGCAGTTGTTAGACGCCCCCACTGTGCAGTCTGGGAGCACCAGGCCACGTGAAGTAACTAAGCTTTCAATAAAGTTAATCAGGTCAAGACAAAGGAAAACAAATCAGGGCTTCAGCTAAATTATATTTTGTACTCAGTTGCCAAAGGTGCTTAGCAGTCGTAATTCTGAACACTGCAAATTTAGAATTTTCTGCAAAAAGTTCTATCAGATATCAATGCTACAAAAAAGTTCTGGCTCCCCAGTGAAGAAAAGAACAAACGACTGGGGAGATGGCTCAGTAGGTAAGGTTCTGGTGAAGAGAGTTCAGATGCCCAGCCCCCCCCCTCCCCAAAATCCAGCAAAAACATTTAACTGTAATTCCATGGCTGGGTGGGGAGGGTAAAAAGAGAGGAGGGTCAAAGGGGCTCACTGGGCAGCCAGTCTGGCTTAAATGATTAGTTTAGATTCACTGAGAGACCCTGTCTCCAAACGCTGGGCGGAAGGGCTGGAAAGATGGCTCAGCATTTGCTTCTCTTCCAGAGACCTGAGCTTTTGATTCCTGGTACCAAAGATGGATAATTCATTCATTGTAACTCCAGCTCCAGGAGATGCAACACCCTCATCTGGCCTCTACAGGCACCTGCACACATGTGCACACAGCTACACACACAGGCACATACATACATACATATATACATACATACATACATAGATAGATATAAAAATAAATCTTTAAAAAATTCTGCTTGTGTTGGCATCACAAATACTAATGGTAGAAATAGTACAAAGCTGGCCCCTACACAAGAATGACAGACAAATTCACGGGATGTTTGATATTTTATAAAGTTTTGTAAGCCCCTCAATTAAAAAGTAATGATAAAGTAGAGTGCCTTAAAGGGAGACACTCATGTCTTCCTCTGACCTCTGTTCGTGCACTTAGGGGCATACACACACACACACACACACACACACACACACACACATCATACTCATACACATAGAAACAAACGGACCAAGCCCACCGGGAACCAAAAGTCAGATACTTTTCACTGACAGTATTGGGTAAAGCCTGTGGAACATGGGTCACCAGCTACTTTATCACTACATTCTCACAATGCTATTTCAGATTTACATTGCGTATGTTGACCCTTTGTAATAACTTCTCTGAAATGGAATTCAGAATAATAGAGTTCCTTTTTCCTCCAGATTTAATACAGTGATACTATCCTGTGGGTATGGGTTAGGGAAGACACCCTTGAAGCCAATCTTCCTTTCTATTTAAAGGAAAAAATATTCAAAGTTCATGCATTGCTCTTTAAGTGGTCTTGTAGAGAATACCAAACATCCTGATACTGGCCAGACGGGGTTGGCACAGGTTTTTAATTCCAGCAATTGGGGGTGGGGGTTGGGGGGAAGGGTAGAGACAGGTGGATCTCTGTGAGTTCGAGGCTGGCCTATTCTAAAGAGTGAGTTCCAGGACAGCCAAGGCTATGCAAAGAAACTCTGTCTCAAACTTTCCCACACACCCCCAAACCCAAACAACAACAACAAGTCTGGACATTGTTATGGAGGATTTAACAGAGAACAGAAACCACTTCAAATAAGCTTTCACAATAAGCTTTAGAAAGGAAGATGTCTATTGGGTATATATGTGCATATATATATATATATACATATATTTTCTTAAAAACAAAATCATGGTGGGCAGAAAACACTTTTTGTACTGGGATGCCGTTAAGGAAGAGACACTGAGACCTGTTTAAAAAATAACATAGTAACTATCCAATATAAAGACTATACTGCCTGTAGGCTTCAAGAAAATTTATGCCTTTAAGTGGCTTGCAGTGGCTCCTGCTCAGGGGTCAAGAGGGATGTGGTGTCAAGAAAGATACTTGGTACATACCAACAGTCCCAGCACTTGGTAAACTGGGAAAAGACTACTCTTTGTTCGCTAAATAAATAATAAGACAGATAAATATCAGGGCTGTTAGATATGAGGCAGGAGATCTCATCTAGAATTAATATATAAATAAACAAGTAACCAGCAGGACTTGTAGATATGAGGCAGGAGCTATTTTGAAAGCTGTCCTGGGACTGAAAATACACGTTTAATAGCTAAGAAATCTTCTTTATTTCCATTTTAATTAAAACAAGCAAAGCAAGTACGTGGATAAGAGGACAGTGCTCTAATGAAGTAGATTTTTTACAGGAAAGGCGGCTCCATTAAGGGATATTGGTGGTCAGCCACAGGTTTCAGCTTGAATTGAATGAATAATTAGTAGAGCTAATTAGAGCGCATGACCTCATTTGACTGCTGAATCAACTTCAGTCAGTTGTTGCCTTGGATAAACGATGTTCGTTCACAGCACACAGCTCCAGCGCATTTCAAAAAGCACATGATCTAATTCCCTGTGAACGGACAATCCAGGGCTGCCACGAGGAAGAGTCTATCTCGCTCTAAATTAGTGACATTTCTGTGGTAAAGGGAAGCATCATTACTTTACCAGACATGTATCCCCAATTCCCTTTTAGCACAAACCTATCTCATACTATTCCTTTAAGAATCTTATTTTCAGCCCAGGTTGGTAGCAATTAACTTCCAGCACTCAGAAAGCAGAAGCAGGCAGATCTTTGAGATCATCTCCTGTGTGGTTTACGTAGCTAGTTCCAGGCCATCCAGGAGTACACTAGTGAGACTCTGTCTTTAAAAAAAGGCAAACAAGCAAACAAAGTCCATTATTATTATTATTATTATTATTATTATTATTTATTGTTAAAATCCTTAAGAAAACAGTCCAGTTTGCTCCGCAAATGCTCTGCTGTCTATACCTGAACACATTTTTTACGTGTTTGATTTGAGACATTCTCGCAAGCTTTTCTAGGCAGACTTTAAACTTACTCCAGAGCCTGGTCAAGCTTTAAACTTGTATCCCCTACAATCATTTAATTTTTTTTTCCATTTTTAGTTAGACAATAGACCCATAAATATCACGTGGGTCAAGTAGCACGTGACCTGCCCCATACCGGGTTACCTTAGGCAGATTATCAATTAGGCGGCAGCCATCGCAATAGTTCGCATTTCTCCGAGGTAAAAGCTTTCAACGTTCTGATGAAAAGTCTCAAGTCCAAGTAGCCTAAGGTTTACGAGTTAAGTATCCACTGATACTTTAGTAAGCTACATTCATTCTTTCTAAAAAATTTCCTACTTTCGTTTCATTACTGGTATATCTGCTGTTTCTCCTACTACTTTAAAGTTTTAAGTAGCTCCTCCCCTCCGGTTAAGATAGTGCCGGTGCTCGATCAATACCGCCGGCTCTAGTTCAAAGACTTCATTTCTGGTTTCTTTTAATTTCCTCCAATCTGAGGGCAGCTTCAGCCGGCTCTGGGCTGACGTCACTAGTGCTGGCACTTACTTGCTCTGCGAGTTTTCCCAAGGAGCTGCAGGCTGCAGGGCGGCTCTCAGACCCAGGGCCACCATAGACTCAGGTGACCTGGTGGGTACTTACTTGAGCTGGCTCTTCCTTGGACGCCTGCAGACTTCCTGCCGGCATCTGGAAGGGAGACCAGAGTCCTTCCCAGGCGGAGGCTCGGGACACCCTCCCAGTGGAGGGCCGGAGCTCAGTCAGGTGACTAAGGTGTCGTCAGGCCTTCTGTCAGTCAGCGAGTTAACCAGAGTTTTTTTCCCCCTTAAGGAAGAGCTCCGTTTGGCTATAGCAAGTCACCTCTTAAACATCACACATCACACCTTTAATTGTGGTGTTTGTGGATAAGACAAAGTAGAGCTACTTCACACTACTACTACAAAAAAAAAAGCACTCCACCAAATTTTTCCTTTATCGCTAGGCAAGTGCTCTCTTAATTTGCACTCCCAACTCTCTTTTTCCCCTTTTAAAATGAGACAGCTTATCCCAAGGTTGCCTAGACTCGCTTACACTCCCTCCACAGCCACCGTAGCCTCTGATCTTGTGATTCTCCTGCCTCAGCCTCCCATGTAGCTGGAACTGTAGGCTTAGACAAAGGCATCTAGACAATTAGTGGACTAATGTGTGTGTCCTAATGTAATGTGTACTAAGTAGCCTGTAGGACTGTTGCCTTAGTGCCTTGCTGGCACATTTCAATGGACCAGGGAGGTGGCTTTATACAAATCCACACACTAGAGTACCTAAAACTAAAGGTTGGCCCAGGTGTTAATTTCTTTGAAAATATCCTCCAGGAAGCTTTCGTGTGAAACCAGGCTGTGAATCACGTTCCAGATCAATAGCCGTCCCACCTCAACAGCTGTAAGAATCATAGGAGCAATGGGTAGAGTGCAGGCTCCTGACATCTGATTGAGAAAAAAGCAGCCACCAGTATAAGATGTAGACTTGCCTGCCTCTTCTGTAGCTAAAACCCACGTGTGTGCATGCATGTGCACTTGAGTGTGTGTATGAGTGTGTGTGTGTGAGAGAGAGAGAGAGAAAGAGAGAGAGAGAGAGAGAGAG